AAAAAAACATGAATAAGTGAGCCAGCTGGAGCATCCTCCCTCCCCAGCAGTGATGGAAATCTCTGCCTTGCCTACAAGTTGGACTAGAAGCCTTCTGAGGTCCTTCCAGTTTTATGACACTGTGTGAATATGGGATTTGGAGGCAGAGGACTTGGCTTCATATTCTATTTCTCACACTTAACTAGCCCTGTGATCTTGAGAGCAGCTCCCTTCCTGTCTTAGAGCCTCAATTTTTTCCTCTGAAGGGGTTAATAGGTCCCTTCCTAAGGTCCCTTCCAATTCCTAGTATTCTATGCTCCCACTTAGGATTTTCCAGAGAAGAGAACCATGTCAAGGATTCCCATCTATAGACCCATGGCTGCTAGGTTGTACATGGGATAAGCACGCTGGGCTTGAAATCAGAGAGACCTGAATTCAAATCCTGCCTCATATACTTACTTGCTGGGTTAGTTACTTAAGTTCTTTCTGAGGCCTCAGTTTCCTCATCTGTAAAATGTCTTTAATGGCATCTACATTATAGAGTTGTTATGAGGATTAAATAATATAAGTAATTTTGCAAACCTCAAAGCACTATGTAAATGTTGTTATTGCTATTATTATCATTATTGTTATAAACCTATAAATGCTCATAGGCACTGAGTGGTCCCAGAAATTTTTATAAAAAAATGCAGAGAACTCATGATGAAAAATGCTATCCACATCCAGAGAAAGAACTGATGGAGCTTGAATGCAGATCAAAGCATACAATTTTCATTTAATTTTTTTTGGGGGTTTTTTTTGGTCTCTGTCTTCTTTCACAACATGACTAATATGGAAATATGTTTTGCATGATTGCATATGTATAACCTATATAAAATTTCTTATTGTCTCTGGGAGTAGGGAGGCAAGGAAGGGAGGAAGAAAATTTGGAACTCAAATTTTTTTTTGAAAAAAAAGAATGTTAAAATTATCTTTACACGTAATTAGGAAAAAAAAACTATTAATTTTAAAAGAGAAACTGCTATAAAGGTACCAAATGCTATCCTCACAGCCCTGGAAATGTATTAACCACATGTGTTGAAGAACCTGTGGTTTTCTTAATGGTGTCTCCCCTATTTATGTGTGTGTGTGTGTGTATGTGTGTGTGTGTGTGTGTGTGTGTGTGTGTGTTATTTATGTATGTAAGCAGAGTCGTAAGCTGGAATTCTGACATCTAGAACAAATTCTATAGGAAATGATGGCCTGGAAGGTATTCCTATGAAGTCAAATTGGAATTTGCAAATGGAACACGCAGGATAGACATTATGAAATCTGTGCTGAGAGTTCCACCAAAATGTCAATCCACTCACCATGACATTTTTATTTCAACGATAATTGCTAGCTGAATTTACCTCTTTCAACTTGACCACTGAGCTATTTTTCTTTTATTGAAAGCCCCTAAAACCAGAATTCTGGTACATAAATTCATTGGAGGACTGTCTGGATGGAGAAAAGCAAACCTTGTCCTGAGGCACCCCCTATCCACAGAAGGATAGCAGCCATGCAACTTGCTGGCATGCCAGGTATACCCTGGGTTTTCGGGGGTGGCACGATTGCCCTTCTGGCTGAGTGGAAGTAATGTCCAAACAAATTATAGCCCAATAAATGTCATGGACTATGATTGCCCTGGAAGAAATGACGAAAGGGTCAGAGAAACCTGGGAAGATTTATATGAACAGATCGAAGATGAAGTGAATAGAACCACAAGTATTTATATTTTACACAACAGTGTAAAGATAAAGAGCTTAGAAAGACATTAAGAACTCTGATCAGGGCAGTCACCACCCAGAGTACCAGGGATGAAGAGTACTATCCATCTCCTCAGAGAGGTGACAGGCTCAAGGTGCACATTGAGACATTTGGTCAGTGTGGAGTTTTGTTTTGCTTGATTCTGCATGTTTGTTACAAGGGTTTTTTTGGTTTTGATTTTCAGTGGTGGATGGGAGCATTGGTGGAAAGGAGAGAAATTCAAATGCTTGTTAAATAAAAGGTTGTTTGTGGGGTTTTTTTTTAAAGGAATAAACGCACTCCCTGGAGATGTGAGAATCTTGATGGGTTAGCCCCAACTTTGCTACTGGAAGGTGGCCTGTCTCCTGGCTGTGTGGGTAGGATGGTGATAGGTCAGTGGAGATAGGAGTCAGAGGATGCTGGGCACTGGAAGTCAGGCTCTGGTGCAGCTGTGCCTGGTCTGGAGCCAGCTCTCAACCTGTGAAACTAGGGAATCTAAGGGGACCAATTGCTTCCGTATCAGTCCCAGACTGAAACAGCATGTTGCTGCTCTCCATCTGACTTGACCTTGACTCTACCTACTCCTGCTCAGAGCTGAGGTCTTGGGGAGCCCATGATGCTGCCCTGAGGGGGCGAGTAACTCAGACATGGAAGAGAATTCAAGGAAGGGAGGTGGTGAGGAGGAATCTCTTCACAGGCTCAGTGTCAGTGCTGCAGGGAATCTTCCTTCCTTGGGCTGTATAGCCCAAGTCTCATCTTACTGGCCCAGAGAAGGAAAGCAGCTTGTCTAAGGTGACACAGCCTTGTAAGGGAGAAAACTAGAGCTGGTAGAAAGGGTAGCCTTGTTGAAGGTGGAAGATCACGGTGCGAGGCAGCGCCAGGTGAAGTGTAATGTGAGGCTTGGGGGAAGGTCAGAGGAAGGGGCCGGTCATGGAAGGGAAAGGTCATAGGAGGTTAAAACCATGAAGGCCTGGTGGACAGGTCACAACAAGAGGGTGGTGGGAAGTTGATTTGGAGGTCCCAGTGGGAGCCTGAGGAGGTAGCCCCAGTAAAAGGCAGGTTGAGAGAGAAAGCAGCTGGGGAATCTTAATGGAAAGATGAATGGAAGGGGCCAGATGGGAGGCTGCCAAGGAATAGGGGGATGTGTTTGAGCAAGGGTGATGTGAAGCTGGTGGGCAAGGAAAAGCCCTTAGAAGACAGGAATAAGTGGATGCTCATGTCCCAGAGGTAGGTCACAGTGGGAAAGGGAGATCAGGGTTGTTGAGGGTTGATATGAAGCTAAGGGTTGGGGGAATCACAGATTGGAAGGGTCTTGGCACCAATGTATGCAATGTCCTCTGGTTTCCTCAACTCAGGCTACTCCAGTGGTGCATAATTGTTAGCCAGTTTGTCTTCTAGGGGTGAGAAAATAGTGCTTATCTGGTCAATTAGCCCTACCCATTGTGTTCAGGACCAGTGTGGATGCTGGGCTTTTCCTTCATCCATCCTCCAAGCTCAGCTTCCTTGCCTTTGGGGACAGGGCAGATGAGAACCTGGCAGACTGCCAGAGAGGAGTGATGACCCTTGAGGAGGTGCAATGGACCCTAGGCCCTAGGGGAGGGTTTTCTCTCTCCGCAGTTGAGGAGTCACCCACACCAGGGCAAATGGTAAGAAAGAGGTAGAGTCGGTATTCTGGCCAATCCAGAATGAGCAAGGCCCAGTGTTTATTCCAGCCCAAGCCCAGCCCACACCAGGATTGTGGCCAGGGCCAGGGGCCAAGGTGTTTGGGTTCACTCTGCTACATTTTTATCGCAGTCTATTATTAATTTTCCTCAGGTCTAGGTGGGAGAGGTAAGAGCTGACGGTTTGCCTTTGGACTTCATAATCTCCTTCATTTTTCCTCAGGCCCATGATAACCTGTACAGGGTTGAGGGATGGAGGACAGTCAGGAGTTATGGGGACATGAGCCTTGCTGAGAGCCTCTTGTGTATAGCTATGGACCCAGATTTGCTCCCCAGAGAGGGCATGAAGGCAGCTCTGGTGAATCCCAGGAGCACAGCCAGGAACCAAGGGTATTAGAACTGGTCTTCCTGGCTGGCTTTGTACATTTCTTCCCAGCCCTTATCCCAAAACCTAAGGCCAGGCTTAGGGAGAAGGCACCCAGGTAGAGTATTCATGAGCCGCATTGAGAGAACTCTCCACTGATTGAGAAAGTAATGGGGAGAGTGTGAAGGAAGGCTACCTGGAACGTTCTCCTAAGTAAATTTATTGTGTCTTGTCTGTCTATCTGTCCCTTTCCCCGTTTCTGCCTCAGTTTCTATCTGTCTCTTCATCTTTGTCCCTTTCTTCATCTCTGTCTCTTGTTTCAATCTTTGTCTCTTTCCGACTGTCTTGGTCTTCCTCTTTCTGTCTATGTCAGTCTCGGATTCTCTCTCCAACTTTGTCCCTCCATTTTCAATTCTGTTCAGTAAGCATGTGCCAAGCACTGTGCATTTTCTCACTCTCTTTCTGTCTCTCTGATAAACAGAAATCTCTTCTCTCTCAAAATCTTACTCAGACACACACACCCTCCTTTACATATGGATGGACGCACACACTAGTGTCTTGCACTTCCTAAATGCACACTCTCATTCCCATTGACTCATTGATATGCATCCTCTCCTAGATGCATATATGCAGCCATAACCACACCTATATTCTCACACATACACTTGCTCACTCTTGGACAGGCATAATGGCTCATGAGATCACAAAGTTAGAGCTCAGAGGGATATTGGAGGCCATGTAAACCAATACCCTCATTTTACAGATGAGGAAACTGAAGCCCATAGAGGTGGCTTGATGACAGTCACATATATGATAGGATTTGAACCCCGGTCCTCTGCTCCCAATATAGTGATTATGGTGATCTTTCCACTATGCCACCATCAGACTTCCCCTCATAGGGATACTCATTCTCTCTGTCTCTGTCTCTCTCTCTCACACACACACAAATATACTATACAACCATACACTCCTGTCTCTCACACACAGATCCCACACCTTCCTCTCTCTGTGTGTGTCTGTCTCCCTCCCTCTCTATCTCTTTCTCTCTTTCTCTCCCTCTCTCAAACACACACACACAAATATACATCTATACACTCCTGTCTCATACACACACAGATCCCATGCCTTTTCTCTCTGTCTCTGTCTCCCTCTCTGTCTCTCTCTCCCTCTCCCTCTCCCCACCCCATACAGCCCTTAGTGGCTCTTAAGGGTTCCCCAAGTTCTCTTACCATGAAGCAGCACATAATAGCCAGGCAGATAAGAATGATGGCCCAGTAGGGCAGGTCTGGGGGGAAGAAGAGGTGATGCTGAGGAGTCTGCATGGGGATAAGGGGACAGCACAGGGTGGGTAGTGACTGTCCTTTGGCATTCCCACCCCTGTGGGAAGGGAGGGGACAAAGAGCAATACACAGGGAAGATGGAGGATGGAGGCTGAAGGACCCAACCCAGAGCATCCTCCCACCTCCCATGCCACCAGACATTTGCTCTTCAGAAGAAGCTGACCTAGGAGAAAGGGGGCAGGCAGACTATGGGAGTGAATTTAGAGAAAGAAGCTGGGGTTCAGGACATAGGAGAAAAGGAGTTGGGCAAACTGAGGGAAGGTCACTTAAGGCAGAAAAGATGGTACAGGGACCCCAGTGTCAACCAGGGACAAGGGAGGGTGATAGTGCAGAGATCCAATGTCAGAACAGAGAAATATGACAGTGATACTGAGTCCTACCCAATGACAAGAGAATGGCTTAAGCTCCAGGGCAGAGAACCTTCCCCATATCCATCCCCCCAGGGTACTCAGGAAGGGGAGATACACTCAAGGATCTGACAATTGGTAGGGATGACTGCTGTTCATTTGTCTCATGAACACAGTCCAAGACGGTGTTGTTGGACGCTCAGCATTGAGTGCTGGCTAGGGTGAGAGGAAAGTCATCCTGGACACTCAGTTCCTGCCCTCCCCCCACTCTCCTACTCTTCAAGGATCAGCCTCAGCTCCCCACCCCCCAACACAGACACGTAGGAACGGTCAAGGGGCAAGGCTGTTGTCATACTCACCAGTTTTCTTAGTTTTCCCATCTATTTTCTTGGTAGAATAGCCTGAAGACAGAGAAATATGGAATAAGGGGAGGACACCCATGGGTCTTGATCTGGGGAACTAGACTGGGTGAGGAAGAAGAGGATGAGACAACAAGAGATGGAGAGGCCATGGGGGACAAAGAAACTCTAGGGGTCAGGGAGGGAGGAAAGGATATGGGGATCATAGAGACAGATGACTATAGAGGACAGGGATGGCAATGGGGGGCACAGTTGGGGTGGGGAGGAGGGAATACAGGCATCAGGGAATGTGGAGAGAGGATCTTTTGGGCTTCAGATGTCAGGAGTCAAGCATCCCAGGAATTCCTCATCCCTCCCCACAGCCTGTCAGTGTTCGGACAGAGAGACCAGACTGGAGAGCCCCTCACCATCCACCAGGATACTGTTCTGATCCAGGGTGAAGTTCTGTAGCCGAGTGCCATTGTGGGTCAGTCTGAGGAACTCTTCGTACATAGCGGCCCTGTCAAAGTTCCGGGCTTGAGCAGCTGATGTGAAGTCACATAAACAGTCCACTCCTGTGAGGCGTCTGGGAGAGGCAAGCCTAAAGAAGGGAGAGACAAGCCTAAAGAAGAGGGAGGGGTGTCAGTGAATGAGAGAGGAAAAAGGCAGGTGGGGAGGAGAGGACTGGAGCAGCAATGGCCTCAGGGGAGCTGAGCTGGGCCAGGCTGAGCAGGCTTCTGGCCCTGGCAGGAAAACCTGGATGGGGGGCCTCCTCTCACTGCACCTCCCCACCAAAACTAGACTTACTTCTAAGTGTTTTGTGAATACATGTATCTGGATGGTGAGCTCCTTGAGGACATGGATGGCTTTATTTTTTCTATCTTTTGTCCCATACCTGACACTTTGAGTATGCTACTTAAAACCTTACTGAGCGGCTGATCGCTCGTGTATGTATGTAGATGTACATGTTGTCTCCCTAGACTGTAACCTCTTTGAGGGCAGAGCTGGCTTCATTTGTACATTTCTGTATCTCTATTCCCCAGCACGTGCCCCACTGCTTGGGACATTGTAGGAGATTTATAAATGCTTGTTGATTGGTTGATTAAAGGACGGCTTGGTCTCCCAGGCAGTTTGGTAACATGCTGCTTTCTGTATCTCTGGACCCTTCTCGAGGTGCTGGTTTGAGGCAGCTTTTAGAGGGAAGAAGGGAGTTTGGAGGGAAGGAAAGAGAAGAAGGAAACACCAGCTTCCTGAGGCACACCAGAGAATGGGCTTAGAGAAGGGATATTGTGTCCTGAACATGGTCTGTTCTGGGAACTGGTCTCCACCAAGAGCTGCTTCCTGTAATTGTGGGGGTGAGAAGCTAGACAGAGAAGTGGAGTCCTAGACAGAGTTGTCCCTGGGGAAAAACCTCACCTAAAGGTCTGCACGTGACAGTCAGAGAAATAGCTCTTGATACTGCTGTTTCTGAAGAGCTGGGTCAGCTGCAAGAAAAACGAACATTTCCTGGGATGTGATCCTTAGGGCACATTGTGCCCAGAAAAAAAAAAAATTCTTAAAAACATTTTCTTTGAAAAAAGAAAAATCACGCTACAGGGCTAGCATCTCCATCTGGTAGATACCTGCCTAGGTGGGCCTAGATGAATGTAAGAGATGGTCTGAGCTCACCTTTCTGGGTACCAGGGACCATCCTAGGTACAGCAGAGCCCCCCTCCCTCCCCCTTCCCTAGTGTCTAAAACTTTTCTAGGAAGGGCCTTCCTTTCCTGTTTCAGGTTCAAATCACCCATTTGAGAAATTAACAGGGTGATCTTGGGTAAATCTGAACCCCTTTCAGACAGCATCTGTAATCTGTAATTATATATCATGTAATCTGAAGGGGCTGGCTTAATGGTGTCCCCAGTCACTTCATTCTCTTTATCCTGTCCTTTGTATCTATTCCTTTCCTTTCCTCTCCTCTCTGCTGTCTTTTCTCCTGCCCCCTTAGAGGTAGTGTGGCATACCTAGGTTCAAGGAAGACCTGGGTTTGAGTTCCTTCTATGACATACTGGTTATGTGATGCTAGGCAGATCATAGTATCCTAAATATAGAGGTGGAAGGGAACTTCAAGGATATCAAGTCCAACTCCTGTATTTTACAGATGAGGAAACTGAGGCTAGGAGGTTAAGTGGCTTGCTGGGGGTCACAAGCAAGTGTCTTAGACAGGATTTGAACTCAGGTCTTCCTGACTCCAAATTCAGCACACTAACCACTGGGCCTCCTGGCTGTTTCACGTAACAGGCAACCCCCTATAAGTTGCGGATTACATACTGGTCTGCTTTGGTAGAGGGAATCACTTCACTGGGACATTTCTTTATCAATGAAATCATAGGTCAGTAAAAATAAATAAATAATCCTAGTTTTGAAAAACAAAACAAAACAACCCCCCCATCATACCTCACCATCCCCACAGGCCCTGTGTGTTGCTCTCCTGACCCCACCCTCTTAAGAGAGTCTTTAAACTGAAATTTCTTCCCACTTAGTCTCCAGGGAACAGAGTGGATGGAAGTTGTCCAGGATTCTGCTGAAAGCCTGATGTGAAAGCCCCACACTCTTGGGGGACAGTCAGGAAAGAGCACGCTTGGAGATCCCTGCTTGGGTCCTTCCTACAGCTCTTGGGACTAGACCTTACCGCATCTTCAATGCCATTTTTGTTCTCTTGATACTTGGCTGAGTCAGGGTGTGACAAGTCCAGGGAATAGAGCACGCTGGTGACAGTGAAGTTCAATTGGAAGTGTCGGGGCCTGGGGTCAATCAGTGGCTTAGCTGTAGACAGTGGGGTGGCTGCTTCCAGTTCTGGGGAAAGAACAAAGAAAAAGATGATTGATGATGATGATGATGATGATGATGGGGGCCCAAGCTGGGAGAGGCTACAGAGAGGTCATACAGGCCAGAGTCCCCTTCCTTCCTCCAGGGATAGAAAGGTGGCTGGCCCTTTTCTCTGGCTCAAACCCTGACCTTCTAAGATAGATGGTACCAGCATCCATTTCAGGAGGCCAGGTAGCAGCTGACTGCTCCCAGGAAAGTCTGGTGAGTTAGAACCACAGACAGAGGGTCACTTAAGAGTTGGGTCCCCTCATTTTACACGTGGAAACGATGAGGTGCGGTGAGGTTTGTTCGTCAGATCTGGAGACCTCCTTGTAAGCCTTATGATGACCTTTCCCAGGATGCCTTCTGCACTTGTGTGAACTCCAAACATTCCCAACAGGATTAGCTCCCAGGTATTTTACTGCACCCATTGGGAAGCCCAGCTCCAATGTTGCCTCCTCTGGGAAGGCTCCCTGAATTCCTCATGCCAGGAATAGACAGTCCCCTAGGACCTCACAGGGCTCTCTGTTATGCCTGTATCTAATGCATTTATAATGCAGTAAGTAGTCTGTATTATCCCCAGGCAACTCTCCAAATCACATAAGTCTCAAGAGGGTGAAAAATCTGCATTGGCAGAGGAAGCTTTTCTGCCAAGTGTTCTGTTCATGCATGAAATCCCAAACCTTGCCTCACCTCTTACCACTGCCTTCTGTTATCCCCTTGGGAGGCCATGTGGGTGAAGAAGACTCTGAAGCTGGCTTCAGAGCCAGGAAGACCTGGGTTCCAATCCAGCTGGTTCTGGTTGACCCCGGGCAAGTCCCTTTCCCTCTCAATGTCACTCTCTACGAGTCTAAAGCATATATTAATATGCACTGGTAACGGGAGTTCCCTCAGGGGAGTTCTCTGTGCCTATGAAATCCCAGGTGAAGAGAGGAGAGGAAAGGAGAAGGAGAGGAGAGGAGAGGAGAGAGAGAGAGGAGAGGAGAGGAGAGGAGAGGGGGAGGAGAGGAGAGGAGAGGAGAGAGAGGAAGGAGAGGAGAGGAGGAGAGGAGAGGAGAGGAGAGAGAAGAGAGGAGAGAGAGGAGAGGAGAGGAGAGGAGAGGAGAGGAGAGGAGAGGAGAGGAGAGGAGAGGAGAGAGAGGAGAGGAGAGGAAGGAGAGGAGAGGAGAGGAGAGAGAGGAGAGGAGAGGAGAGGAGAAGAGGAGAGGAGAGGAGAGGAGAGTAAAGGAGGGAGAGGGGAGAGGAGGGGAGAGGAGGGAGAGAGGGAAGTGGAGAAGAGAGGAGGGAGAAGAGAGGAGGAGGGGAGAGGAAGAGAGGAGAGGAAAGAAGAATGCATAGTATGATTTTGCATATTATACCTAACATCTATGTCTTTCTCTAGTGGTGTGGGAAGGGAAGGAGACAGTTAGTTACAAACTTAAATGTAAGAAAAAATAAATTTTAAAAAAGAAAGAAAGGAAAGGAACAAGCATTTATTAAGCACCTGTTATGTGCTAAACGCTTTCAAAATACTACCTCATTTGAGATGCTAAATCAATGTTTGTAAATGAAAGAAGTTTGAACATCCACAGAGGAACAGAGAGAAAGGGGGAGCCTAAAGGGCAGATGGGGACAGGTATGTGTGTTCTCTAGCCCTTTGGGGCCTCCACTTTGGCTTCAGGGATGACTTCGTTGCTGGGATCTCAGAAGGCATGTGGAAAGAGAAGGTTCTGTCCTGAACAGGCTCCACGGCCAGCTTCTCATCTGGGCTGGGGGAGTGTAGGGGTGGTCTGGAAGTCTAATTGTTTTTTCCCAGATCTGACACAAACTCTCGATGACTTTGGACAGAGTCACATCTGCTCACTGGATCTCAGTTTGCTCAATCACAAAATGACAGTGTTGGAGTATCTGAGGCCCTTCCCAAATCGAACCTTCTACATTCTGTATGCTAGGGCTCCTCCAAACTGACATCCTGGTTCTAAGGGCCCTCCCAGCTCTGACATCCTGGTTCTAAGGGCCTCCCAGCTCTGACATCCTGGGTTCTAAGGGCCCTCCCAGCTCTGACATCCTGGGTTCTAAGGGCCCTCCCAGCTCTGACATCCTGGGTTCTAAGGGCCCTCCAGCCTCTGTAATTTCTGTTCTAAAGCTCTCCCAGCTTTGACTTTTTAGGTTCTAAGAACGTTCCTATTTCACTCATGTTATGCCTTATATTCTAAGAACTTCCTAGCTCAACACTGTTTCAATCCCATAAGTGTTCACTTCACCCCCATTTCCTGGGGTACAAGCTTCCAAGTGCTTTCTTCAGCTTCTGTTTGCCATGAGCCCCTTCCCATCCCCATCCCACTGCAGCTTCCTCCCCCTACACCCCCAGCCATTCAGGCCCCCATACTTGTCACTTGGAGGTTATCCAGCTTATAGGAGTCCCTGAGCCAGTGGCTGTGGCATCCTGGGTCCTGTCCAGAAACACTTGTCCAATGTGTCAGGATCCAGGTTGGAGGAGAAGCTGCAGTTGCAGGTGACATACACAGAGCCCATCCTATGGACCAAGATTACAGGGCATTTGGTCAGAGGCCTGGTACAGATGGACCCGGCTGCCATCCCACTGTGGCCTTGGTCAATAGCCCTGTGGTGAGTGAGGAGGTTTTCTGCCCGTAGCCCAGGAGGCAGGGTGCAAGGAGTCCGCAAAACCTCTGAGATCAGTTGATCAATCAACTAGCATTTACTGAACACCTACTGTGTGCAAGGTACTCTTCTGGCACTGGGGAACCATCCACTAATGCAGGAAAGATCTCTCCTCTAGTGTTCCTGCAGGTCGCTTTTCTCTCCTCTGCTCAAGCAGCAGCAGCTCTGAT